ATCTTTGCTTCACCAATTCCATCTTCTCTTGTGGACGACCATTGTAAACGGCTGCTCGGCACTGCGTCCTAATGAATGCTTTGCTATGTTGTAGACTATTTGTTAACAATAAACCCAGGGCCCATTTATGTCCCTCATTTGTTTCAGGATTGCAGTGTTTATTTTGAAATTGAAGGAAGAGCTGGAATTGAAGAGGGTAGGAGAGAAGGATGCAGCAAGGGAAGGGGAAGTCAGGACAGGAGTGTAGACAGAAGCAGGGAAGGTGGGGGGGGGGGGTGACTTTTACAGTTATACTGGCGGAGAGTCAAGTGAGCTCAGTGAGGCAGATTAATATGGCCTGAGTGTGGTGAGCTGAAATGTGCCTTTCCAAGTGTGTGTTTGCTTTTGACTGGTGCACAACCTGTGATTCCTCTATGTGGAAGGCTTTACTTGAATTTGCTCCAAATGAGTGGCTCAACAACTTTGTGTCAGTTTTTATGTGTTAGTCTGCACAGACATACAGAGCCACTAACTGGCCTGGGACTTAAAATATGACTCAATCTACCATTGCAGTCTGGTAGAAGTGATGTTATTAAATACAGACATATCCAGAATATGCTCTAAATACTCTTGAGTAAGTGCCATAGAGGTTGAGGACAGCAATTCTAAAAGTAAATCAGTGTCTTAAAATAAATAAATATGTACATTGAATAAACTGATTACGTGAAGCATGGGTTCACCACAGAAAGTGTGTGGCTTTGTCAAGGTCACGTACATGGTAATGTGAATACACACACACGTATACACAGCCCCTTCACATTTGAATATGGGGTTGCCAGGGGCAACACAGACCGCTACAGCATCCTCGTGCTTACTGTTTGCCAAGCAGCCAAATATCCAGCACCATTAACCTCATCATTGCAACATAATCAGCGGCGGATGAAGCTGCCACTAAATCGAGGCAGCCTTCAAGGCACAATTAGAAATGTTAATTAAATGTTGCTCTGTCTTGCATGGACTTGACACATAATGCAAAACCATCATTTTGGTCTGTGCAGAATGAGCTTTCCCTCAGTCATTGAGGATCTGTAGCACACATGCTATAGATCACAGATAAGCAACCTGCACCAGATGATTCCACTAAGCTGCGCAATAAGCAGAAATAACCAAATGTTGTCTTCGGTTGGAATGGATACGTTGCATGCTCTCCGTGGAGTGATAGTCTAGTCCTGCTGTGGTTGCTCTTTCCGCAAATATGCTGGTGTTTTGTGATGGTGACTATATTGCTCTTTAAACCTAAATACCTTGTGCTCTTATTAGATATTTTTATATTGGATGGTTTAAGAGCTGTGGAGCCTTGTTTATCTATTTTCATTGCTGTTTTGCTGAAACACTGAACACTGAATGGCTTTTGCATGTAAAAACATGTGCACTTGTGGTTGTTTGTGTCAGGGTCTCCATCTGCAGACTTAAGTGTCTTAAGAGCACCCATCGTTCGCCAGACTACTGAAAGCTCTGAGGTCTCAAAATGTTAGCTGGCCATTTTGGAGTGTTAATACAACTACTAATGGCTGATAGAAATAGCACCCACTCCGACCCCAGAATAAATGTGTGTTTGTACACATCTGTGGTTGATCAAGCATGTGAAAGTGACCCAAGAGAGAGGGTTACCCTCCTCTGAAAGAGGTCTGAAAATGAATCCACATCTCAAATTGTCTGCAATGAGAAGGAATGCAGAGGCATCTGCCCTAAATGGATCAGACAGATTGGACGTCTAATACCATTTTATTAGATGCTGCCAGTCCTTGCCCATCATCTGTGAAAGACTGCTTGCTTGGCTGTTTGAGTCCCACAAAGGCTCAGCTCGAGTGAGACTACAGCTTGTGTGTGTGTGTGTGTGTGTGTGTGTGTGTGTGTGTGTGTGTGTGTGTGTGTGTGTGTGTGTGTGTGTGTGTGTGTGTGTGTGTGTTTGTGTGTTTGTGGCTGGTCTGGTTTAGCTATGCCCACAGATGAAGGAAGCCCAAGAATGACAGGGGAGAGTGAACAGGATTAAAAGCTAACTCTATTTAGACTGTGCCTAAGACAGACAGGTCTGCTCTAAACAGGTGTGTTTATCCTTCTCCAAAGTTGCTAAAAAGGCTCAGCTGAGTATGTATGAGTATGTGTCAAGGGAGAGAGAGAGAGAGAGAGAGAGAGAGCAAGAGGGAGAAAAAGTAAGAAAGAGGGAGAAAAAGACAAAGGATATGTCTGTGGATAGCGTGCGTGTATGCGTGCGTGTGTGTGTGTGTGTGTGTGTGTGCGTGCGAGAGAGAGAGGGTGTGTATTGAGTGTCTCTCCAGAAGACTGGCTAATTTAAACAGGATTAGAGGAAGTAGTGATGGACTGTTCCCAGTAAATTATACCGTGTTGTAAAGGAGTGTACCACCCACACACATCCCACACCTACATGGAAGTCCCATAGTGGTTAGCATACGCTGCACACGTACACGCACACACATGCACACGTACACACAGACAATTGCTGAAGAGAGTGTGGGCTGGAGAGGGGATATATTGCAGGAGTGCGAGGGGTTTGTGTGCTGTGCGAATACTTTCCCAGCTCTAATCCGCCCATTCCTGTTGGCATGAAAGACAGGGATTAACAGACGAAAGGTGAACATGGAGAAAAGGCAGGGCCGGAAAAGAACACAGGGAAGGAGAGATAGTATTCCGGAACCTCTGCAGGATTCCTCCAAGGCTGCTGTGGTGAATGCAGATAAGCAGTCTTTTGTATGAAGTTAAATCCTCTTATTGATCAGCAGATTAGGTGCTGTCCTCTTGCCTTCTTTAACTTCCCAAACTGGAGAGACAGTGTTTCTCATCAGTCTGGTCAGGATTTGGATAACTCAAGACATGGTCAAAATACATAGTATAGTCATAAATCATAGAAATGTAACCGAAGGTAATCAGTGTCAAATGGTAGAAACATGCTCTGTATGCAATGTATGTAATATCTTGAAAGCCTAATTTTAACACATTAAGTCCCAGGTCTTTATTTGGTGAACAACCTGTATAAAACAATCTCCAAATGCTACCTGTTACTGATTTTCTTTCATTAAGTGTTAAACCGACATGATGAGATTCATAAGTAAAATTGCCCTCCTGTCTGTAATGTAGCACTACACAAGCTGCTCACATCTAAGGATGTTTCCTGCAATGAGAATGTCTACTTAACGCCCACGGGAGAGGCTCTCCCTCGCTGGGAGATAAAAGCAAGGTTTTGCATCATTAGAGGATGATACTATCAAGGTAATTATAATATCAGCCAGTGTTGTTTGTTAGCTTATAGCAGCTGTGTATTGCTCTATCTGTCTGTCTGTACAGTATTCTCTTTGAACATCCAGTCATGCTCTTAAAAGTATGATATACCAACTCTTTTGACTGCCTAAAATGGGGTGATTGGCCCAAAAGGTTTAGAAAGTCTGTAAATAAAAGATGGTTAAAACTATGAATAAAGTGCTGGCAACAAAAGATATAAATGACATTTGTAGCTTATTATCCTTTCTACTCTTTTCTCTCTCTTGTATGCACCTCACTTTTGAAAAGACAGCATGAAAACAGCAGCATAAAAATGCTGTCACTGCCAGCTATTTTTGGAAAAGCAAGCTACTCCTCCATGACAAATATATGCATAACTTAAGTCTTTTAAAGAACTCTTTCTCTCCATCCCGCGTCAGAATTCATTCAAACTGTCTCGCGTGGCATTGTTTTGATAGAAGGTCTTCCCAACTCAGCAGGTGTGCTGAAAAATTGACCCTGAAGACTGGGCAGAGATTTGCATCACTGCATGAGAGACTGCAAGCTAGTTATCTGAGCAGCCGCTGTGGAAAATAGAAGGGCGGATGCTTTGTGTCCAAGGCCTCATCTGTCTGTTGGTAGACTGAGGTATGGCAGATACAAAAATAGCACTTAAAAAGAAAGAATGTGTTAACAAAGGAGTGAGAGGACCACCATCTGGCACACTGTGGAAATAAGGGAGACAACACAGATTTTGGCTTTTAATGCCTTTTAACACAGTTTGTTAATTATTAAGCTGAATAATAAGTTGTCAGTAGCTATATATATGAGACTGATTTTAGCATTTCAGAATGATATTTCAAACCTACACTGGAAGTATAAATAAAAGACTGAGAACTGTAGCTGCACCCTCATCATCTCGCGCCCTAGTGAAGGTATGTTTGCGTTATGTATCTGTGTGTAAGAGAGCGAGATGCATTTGTGTTTTTGATGGCGAGCGTGTGTGTGTGTGTGTGTGTTCTTGCACGCATGAGTGTCTAAATGGTTTCCTTTCCACAACAAAACAAAGTTAATTGCTTCAATTACTGATATTATTTGCAAATTACTCGCCATTGGTTGTCTGTGACTCTCAATTTGGAGTCCTATGAGTTCATGTCTCAACTCTGCGCTCTGTTTTGTTGTTGTAAATCGTTATGTTAATAGAGTTTATTCTCACTGTCTTTAGGAATACTGATTTTGTTTGCTTTTGTCTCCTCAGTCCACACTTTGCCCTGAATGTGTTTAATTGTTCTTAATTTGACATTTGAATGATATTTGTCACAGTAACTTTGTCTTTTTCCTCCGTGACAAACGGAGTCCAAAAGATGGATGCTTTGCGGTTCCCCCTTATGGCTGTGCTCACATCCCTACAGTGAAAAGAAAAAAAACAGGAAAGAGAGAACAGAAACCTGTGGGTTTGAAAGAACACTGTCTTACCCTGGCTGTCATTCCACATATATTCTACTGCGAAAGATTAAAGTTTTGGAGTTTATCACATTTTGAATTCGCTGCTCAAGCTAGGAGCTGTTTTCTGGTATTCCATCTTCGGTAGGTATGTGGGCTGATTATTGAGTCAGTCTTGCGTGTGTTTGTTTGCCTGTTGGGTCATCTTCGCTGTGATGTAGGTGTAATGTCTGACAAGTTATTTTTAAGCCTACCCAGGAGTTTGGATACCAAGGACAGGCTGAAGAAAAAGCAACAACAAGAAGATATGATTGCTTTTTATTGTTCTAAAGACTTACAGGACAGATGGAGAACATGATTTTTACACACATTCTGTCTTTAAAACTCCCCTTATTACTAAATTGTATGTTTTAGGTAAGTGCTGTCTGTAATGTAGAGAAACACCAGGTACATTTACTGCAGGGTAGCATTTAGATGGCGGAGAATACACCATATCATCTCGCTAATCACCTGCAATGAGCAGATGCAAGGCAGATGTGCATTGCTGCTGGCACAGGTGCTGCACAGTAAAGGTGTCCAAGGTTTGTCTTGGAATTCCTGATAGCCTTGGTGAATTCTACCGTCCCTCTGCTTGCCAGTCTGTTCTGTCCTTTAGAGGGAAGAAGGTATGTGTGTTTCTGTCTATGACGTTGCGAGGGGCAAAAAGACAAACAGGAGGAGGAAAAAGAGAGCACAGTGCAGCCAAAAGAGTTTAATTACTGTGGCATAAGTATTCATGAGCCTGTCCTCAACATTTCTTTTCCCACTAGCTTGTTTCTGAACCAAGCATGACTCTCAGAACTGGCTTTAGGCCACTGTGAAACCAAGTGGAGAGGTTTTTCAGCACAACAGCTGAGTTGCGTTGCTGGATTTGGATCCATCACAGGTGGACTCCCCAAAAGCTCTACTGCCTGGCTGGGAGCTGGGAGTGAGGCCGCAGGGGATCTACAGAAAGGAGACATATGGTAGCTTATGATTAAAAGTGGAGAGATTCACACAAGTGAGGGTACGAGTAACTGTGTGTGCGCTCATGCGTATGGACTAACTACAGTTGTGGATGTATTAGTTTTATCATAATTCATCCAGCCATAAGCCAAAACCAGTGTAGAAATACACACTTGTCTGTCAACTTGACTGACAAATAAAAGCAAATTAATTTACCTGCAGCTGTGGGAGAGACTCAGAGCATCACTGAATATTATATAATTTATAGGAAACATCCTGCATATATTAAAAACATTATTTTGGCTTTCTAGAAACTATGGAAGCTCATGGGTTACAGAATATACAGGTTTTTCATTATGCTTCTATCTATTTTCATCACAGTTAAGACATGTATTTGAACCTATCATGAAATATCTACAACTGTCTTGTGAATGGTAAATGGACTGTACTTGTATAGTGCCTTCTGACCACTGAGCGCCATATTTATACAGTGATGGCAAAGCCTGTCACAAACAGAAACTAATACTCATTCACACACATTGATGACACAGCATCAGGAGCAATATGGGGTTCAGTATCTTCCTCAAGGACACTTGCAGCGTGAGGAGCCAGGGATCGAATCGCCAACCTTCTGATTCGTTGATGACCCGCTCTACCCCCAGTCGCCCCAATCTTGTGTGCTGGCCAATATTTTTCTTTTTCTTATTCCGCCAAGTGGCAAACTTGTTTGCCTGCAAACAGTCTCTAGTGGCTACCCACTTGTTCCTTTTACAAGTAAAACATATTACAACAGAATCCAAATATTTTCCATGACTTTTAGTTTGCTGTTCCTCTTCTATTTCCTTATTTTTCTTTAAATTTACAAAGCTTAGGCCTATCTTCTTGATACTGTGAGATCTCTGAACCTTGGGAGCTACAGTGAGCTTTTTGAGCCAATTGCTGTTGAGATTAGTTCAAGCCACTTCTTTCTAGACGGCTCCCCGGCTGCCTATATTGTGTACAGTGTGCCATTGACGGCCACTGGTTAATCTGCATGGAACAAAGTTGATACCAAGGGGGCACTGAGGCAGATGAGCATAATTATACCTTATAAGTGGCAATACTGTAATTGTAGGCAATAAAGTAGTTTCATCAAACCAATGGGCAATAATATAGAGCGACTGTCAACAGCAGGGCAACAATCGAGTTCCTCGGTGTGACATTTTATTTAGGAGTACAGTAATTGTGACAAAAACTGGAACAACTTACATTAATCCACTCTTTAAAAATCCATTGCAAATAAAAGCAGACAGTTTATATTTTCTGTTTTGTGTTGTACTTCATTACAGTAGCTCATTCAGCTGATGAGTTTACAGGCTTTACAGGATGCATTTGACAAGGCCACCACCCAGTGATGAATTTAATCCTGTTATCCATATCTTGGTATCCAAATCTGCCACAATTTCACGCATCTTTACTTTGGATATGCAGTTCTAAAATGTGAAATCGTTCATTGTCAGAATCTCAAGAGCATTTCCTCTACAGTTACATATTTACAGTCTACACAGATGCTCAAAGCAAAACTGGAAAATACATCATCTATGGCTGTGAAAGACTAAGAGCAATATTGTGACGTTTTTATTGGAAAGACTATGAAAGATGCCGTAACTCAAGAAGCGTAATAAACATAATGTGCTTTGATTTTTCTATATTCTCTGTAATGTGGAACAGGCCTGAGGTCTTGCTTAGACTTGGCCCAGGGTTTTATATGATCCTGCCCACTGAGTTTGACATATCAATCTCAACATTTAATGTGCTTTTTGACTGCATGACTGGGTTTTACATGCACATACAATATACTTGCCCACATATCTGCTCTTACCCACACAGTGGCCTGTCCTAAAGGCAAGAAATATTTGCTGAACAACCAAAACAAAAGCCTTTTTGCTGCTTTACAAACCACACTTTAGACAATATGTGTCATGTCTATCTAGTCCATGGCTAAGAAGTGTGAGGGTACTGTGGCCCCGCCGTGAACCAGCATGTGCAGCTCTTAGCCCTGCCAGGCGTGTGTCTCCGCCTGGACTTTGAGTTATGGCTGCCGGGGTCTGAGACCCATTCATCAGCGCTTCATTAAAACTCAAATCGCTTTTTCACTCACAGCCTTTTCTCTCCCGCCCAACAAGTCCCACATCCTGCCTGCCCAATTTCTGAGCTGGTCCTGTTGTTAAGAGCTTCAATTCCATGACTTTGTGGCCGCTGCTTTCTCTTAGTTGAGAATAAGGTGCTTTAAAGTGTACATTGTCCACCTGGGAACCTTGTTGGCAGGAATGGCTTTTCACTTGGTTAGCAGCAGAGCAAGGAAGAATCACCTGGGTGACATGTGGGTGGGGGAGTATGAGAGAGACATGGGGCTGTTGAAAAGAACTCTCCATTGGCCTTTTCCTGTTCCGCTTTTGTTTGGCACTATCTTGCCATTCCGTGTTATTCAAACCACACAATGGGGTACAAAGCTGCCGGCGTCTGCTCCTGCTCCATTCCTCCTCCCCTTCATCCTCCTCCCTCCGCCATATTATAAGTCATTTAAACTGAATTTTGGCAGAGTGGAGCTGAGGCAGGTGGAACTGGAATGTTCACAGGCCCCTGACCATTCTTCGCTTGCAGGAAATTAGCTGTCCATTGTGCCTTTGCTGCAGCAGCTCGGTTGAACTTGTGCCATGTAAAGGCCAGTATCTTATCAAAATTGCAGCAAAGCAGTTCTGTCATGTTGTCTGTTTATCGCACATTTTCATTCTCCTATTATTCCTCCTGTTAAGTCTGGTAGACTATTTAGTTATAAGACGTGAAAGTCCTAGCCATTTATTGCTCCATTGCAACACTTGATTTAAGTGAGTGCTGTAAGTGAGAATGTAGACCAGTCAGTGAGTGTTGGAAGTATATTCCATTGATAATGGTGAAAGGCATTTAGTATTGATTTTTAGAGTAAAACAAATTCTTCACAGCCAGATGATTCCTTATGCTTTTACTCACTGCATAGTTCTACTGCTGCACATGTGGGTCAATACATCAGTTGAACTACAGCTTGTGTGAAAGTCCGTGTATATGCCCACAAGCCTTTACAAAGAATAAACATGGATTACTAAAAGCCAAGTTTGGTGTTTTTACTTGAGGTTTTGACAATTTTGAAGTACTTGCTCCGGTTTTACACTGCGTAGCTCGAGTGCCAATGGCTGTATTTCTCCAGAGCATGCTCATTACATTTACTATGACATGTGACCTTTTCCTCTGGTAAATGTAACACAGACCACAGGGGGGAATAGGGAAAACAGGATCGCACATTGTGCACCAGTGAGAAACTTCGAGAAATTAGAAGAAAATGGCACTATTGTTTTTCTTTCTCTAGCTTTGGGATTTATAAGCAGCCAAAATGTGTACACAGAGAAAAAACTCTTACCGCCACGCATGTATACACATGTGCACACGTACACACGGCAACACACACTCACACTCCTCCTTTTTCTCCACATCCTGAGGGGAGAGGTCAGGTTAAGTGCCGTGTGGGGCAGTAGGCCTGTTTTTCCTCTTGGCTGGCACCCTGCCCACGTCAACAGTCCCTCTCTTCAAAAGCCACTAATGCAGGGGCCGAGCGCTGACAGCGTTCTGACAATGAGTTACTATCTGTCAGCCATGGCCCCTGTCCGACTGCCGGTCCCACTGAAAAACAGATCTGTGGAGAGAGCAAAGGTTAATCTAGCAGTGAGGCTCCACTGGTGACTGGCTCCACGACCATGTGTGACTGAGAATAGGCTGAGAGGAATTAACACTACTGCCTCAGGGAGTGTTGACAGAAGTGTGTGTGTGTGTGTGTGTGTGCATTTCTGTCTATGTCTGCAGTGATTGAGCGTCTGTGTGTGTCTGTTGATGATAGGAAGTGAGGAAGGGGCAGATGACAAGGTTTGTGGAGGTTTTGTGTTCACAATCCATTATCTTCAGGGAGGAATCATGCTGGATAAAGGTTGCTTCATGCCATTTCAGAGATGTAAGACAAATACCAGCAGACCGTGTAAACATTGCAGTGAGAGTATATGTGTGCTGCCTCCCTTCTGTCCGCTGTATCAATCGCTCTGTCAGCCTGTCTCAGTCACTTTTTTTAACCTACCTACCTCTTACTTTTTTACACCCTTTTTGTCTTCCACAATGAAAAGCACAGTCCTGCACCCTGCCAGTTACTTAAGAATATCCCTGTTAGTGTTTGAATATAGTTATGCATGTCTACATTTGACTGAGTCAGCGTAGGTCAACTTGGTTCATGGCCTCCTGAGGAGAGAGCATTTAACGGGTCTCCCTACCACTGCGCCAGCTGTCTGTTTCTAGTCCAAACAGCTCTGTTGGTTAAGCCCCTGTTGCCACATCATGGCCCCCTGTCTTTTGGCAACACGCTAACTGTTAAAAGCATACCATTGTTAGTGTGTGCTGACTCCCATGAGTATCAGTCATGACTTAACTGGAAAGGTTTTTTCCACCCTAAATGGTCTTAGAACTGGAAGTTAACATTTTCTTTCACTTCCATCATCACAGGTGTCAAATGGAGTATGTTGTTGTAAAGCGCTAGTTATATCGAGGCAGATAATAAATCGAATTCCTCACCTCAGATTTTGAGATTAGCATATTTGTAGCAGCAATAAGCTGTGCATCAGCAGTTGGGGGTATTTTCAAGGATATGTGGCTTATAAATCACACAGAAGAAATACCCAATTTTGTGGATTTCTCCAGATTATCTTTGTGCAGATAAAGTGGAAATTGAAGGATAAATAAGAGTGGAAAAAAGAAAGCATCAAGGCATGCCGGCGCTGGCTCATCACAGTCAATTAGCTCTGTGAGGCATCTCCTGGAGATATTTCACTTCGGATAATACCTCTTCTGTCATCAGCCTGTGTGTGCGCATAGAAGCATGTGTCTCTGCGTGCTATTCTTTAGCGTGCGGGTATGCATGGCTGTGGGTATGTGTGTGTGTGGGTTGCCTGTGCACACACCTGCCAAAATACCTTCATATAGCCCTCCTTGTGAGACAGGGCAGACTGGAGTGCTTGTTTTCCCACTCACAGTGGGTGTGCATTTCTTTATCTCCTTTGCCTGTCGTGTTGACTGATGGGTAATATGCTAAATGGGGCCTGTGTTTACCTCACCTGTGCCACCGGCAGGCCTCTGTGTGTGCTGGGCTGTGACAGGGAGCACTAATAATGCTTTAACTGCTCTGTCAAACTTCAATCACATTGACACAAGCTCTGGTGTAGCACACTGTCCTGTTGGCAGAGGTGCTGTCACTGGACAGATGTAAGTGAATTGTGTCCCAGTAGTTACATGGCAAATGGTGACTGCGCGCTGGAGGTCAGGTAAATGGGCTGTGCAGTAGCAGCACCAGTGCAGATGTGCCTTTGTGTGAGTCCGTTTATCTGTATTCATGTGTCTATGTATGCAAATAGTCTATATGTGTTTGCATATGTGTGCATGCATGTGTGTGTGTGTGTGTTCAGCTAGCCAGCTTTTTTCCATTTTTATGTGTGTATCTATTGCAGGGTTAGTGGAGCAGTGAGGCCTTGCAGTGAGTCTCTCTACAGGAGTGTGTGATTTACGAGCCTGGTGTGAGCACTTCTCCTATCCTCCTGCATAATGTCCCCATTAGAGACAGCAGACACTGTGGCTCTGTTCATCATTTAGCCCCAGCCACCAGCACACCTGGGGAGAGAGAGAGAGAGAGAGAGAGAGAGAGAGAGAGACAGAGAGAGAGACAGACAGAGTGAAGGAAAGGAAAAGAGGAGTAAAGAAAGAAGAGATAGCACAGTGCATTATCTTACCATCAATTATCGCCCTATGCCTTTACAGAGGCCGTGACCAGCTGCATCTATGTACAGCAGAGCAGAAAAAGAGAAAAAAAATGAAAGGGGATGCAAAAGGCAAGGGGGGAAAGAGCAGTGTTATGACTCATACTCTACCACAGCCATCACAGCAGTAGCCATAAGTCTTGCCAAAGATAGCGAGTTGCCTGTCTCGTTTCTCCTCAGGCTCAACTTTTTTTTTTTTTTTTTTTTTTGTCTACCTATGTTCTGTACCTGTGTTTGTTTTGGTCTGTCAGCCTCATTATGTGGAGCGAGCTGTCAGGGGACACACAGGCTAACAACACCCCTGGGGAGGAGAAAGAGGAGTAGTAGTGTGTGAAAACTCTGGGAGTCATTCCAACACCCATCTACATTAATAACTGCACAAGCACAGATAACAAACACTTCATGGAATGGTAGTCATATTTGTTCAGCATACACTTAAGCCTGAGTAAAAGCATTTTATGAAATGTACTGTGTATACTGGCAAACATTTGGAAAATTGCCTTTTTAATAGTGGGGGAAATCTTTGTTCCATCTCACACAGTGGTTGGTGCTTTATCTTATTTAAACACCTTCCGTATGTACTGAGCTTATGACTAAAGGTACATTGTGTTTTTGATTTTCACTCAAGTATTATGAGTGTTAAGGCATTCAAGTACTGTAGATATGTGGAGTTTGCTTTTATAGATGTTGTTAGGGATAAGTTTGATATTGCCATGACGCATTACAGCTGTTGTTTGAAGTTCACTGTGGGAAACAAAAAATTATTTGATCAGTAATAACGTGTTTCGAATTGGTGGTGCCTTGAACTTGAACAACCCAGAAACATTCCTAAAATGCAAATGAATGCTATCTGAAAAGTGATCCGTAGAGGTATTTAGGATTCAATACCAGAAAAGTAGAAATTGTGAATAAATTCTGAAAAAACGTCAAGGCTCGTAATGAACAGAAAAATTTTAATTCTACTGCAGATTAGGCTGCGTGTGTTGCATTTGAATTATTTTGAACCTATTACATGTTTCTCTCATTCTTTCACACTTGATTTTTTGAAAAAGTGACATCCCTGACATGTCATGTCATGTATTAATTTGTGAAGTAGTGATGTTTGCCATTGGGTAAGAAGCTTAAGAAATTATGACCCACTCATTTATATATCAATGATGGAAGGTTTTAGTGTCTCCTGCTTCAGAGGCTTTTTCAACCTATTCAAGATCTGCAAGGGAAATTATTTTATTGGTGGCATAACAGTGGTCAGATTTATGTAAAATGTGTGTGTGTAAGAGAAAGAAAATGGTCAGAGATGTTAATATTTGTAATAAAATCAAGACATGTGTCTCCCTCTTTGTGTATTTGATTGAAGTGGTATGCTTAGTGCAAATCTTGTGGCACAGAATTGTTGAACCCCATGGGCTGAGTGTTAATTTTTTCAGGGAAGAGACAGAGCCTTTCTGCTCTACTTAACATTTGTAATGAAACCTCCCGAGGCTCTTTTTCTATCACACAATGCACAATGCAGGTTGATGGCCGGGATGAATGGAACACCTGCAGTTTTCATGGCTTCTCTAAATCAATGTACTGCTTGTGTATCCAGCTTGTTCACATGTTTCAAGTCAAATCAAGAAAAATTTATTGATATAGTCCAGTAGCACAAATTGGCCTCAAGGGGCTTTAATTTGTAGCATATGACACACCCTATCCTTAGACCCTTGATTCGGACAAGGAAAAGATCCCCCAGAAAAAGTGCCTGATTTACATGAGGACTTAAACTGATGTTGGAGGGATAAAAATTTACAGGATGGATGAAGTTAACTGCATCAGCTTGACAACAGTGCCTTTGTTTTATGTAACTGAGATTGTCTATACATTTTTGCACACAGAAATACATTTCAGCCATGCCCTCCAAGCAGCTTTAAACAAATGCTAAGTATTGTATTCACTTTATTCTACACACAGAAAACACACCCAAAGGTGCACTTATTTCCTCCAACACAAACACCGCTGCCATTTCATCTAAAATACAGCAGGTCCTGATGTGACGGTGCTGTTCTCACCAGAGACCTGCGAACCACTTGTGTCTCCCATCAGAGCTATTTACCCCACCAGCAGATACTCACACCCGGACCGGACAGACACCTGAATCTACTCAGTGACATAAAACTGGAGAAATAATTTAACAGCTTTGAGCAGCTTTTACAGCTGTGTAAGCTGCTTGTGTTTCCTGTATTTACATGTGCATGTGTAGATGCGTGAATGTGTGTGTTTCTGAGAGTGCTGAGCTGGGAGCAAGTGTTTGCTGCCACTGCTCCTTACGTGTGAAGTAAAGGAACAGCTTGAAGTGGGTCGGTGGCACTACATATTTAACGAGGCGTCTCGGCTCTTTAGCTGCACCGTTGTAGTGAGTGTCGCACTTTGACTCCTGGAGCACACCTTACATCACACCAGCAAACAGTCTCATCTGGCGGGGCTGCCAAGTACAGCTCTGCCTGGAAACTCTGCTCTCCTCTGGCAGGCAGATCTTAAACTGAGAGGGTAACCACGGGCTGTCTAACTGCATGCAGAAGTTCACCCTCTGATCCACCCGTGTTGTCTCGGTTACATTAGCAATCAACTGAAGGGTTGGAAGATCCAAAATGGCAGGATAAAAAAAAGAAAAATGTTAGTGGTGTTGGTGGATGTTGTGGATGTCTAAAAGATGACTGTTGAGGGACCAGAGACGGCCAGAGGGGTGGCTGATGTTTGCGCTCCCCACCAGTGTCACTGGATAGCTGTGACATTTGGGTCTGCGTTCTCGGCCAAAGCTCT